CTTCTCTCTGTGTTTGAGTGACCAGCAGGCTCATAACAGGAATATTCCCTTGCCTCTTACCAGGCAGGAGCTCATTGCTTTAAATTTTTTCTTTCAATGTCATACAATTTATGCACAATGGGTATGGAGAATATAATTGTTACACAGGTCAAGTTGTGGGGACTTCAAAGAATGTACAGTTTTAGGCAGCAGACCCAGAAGCTGAACCTGATGAGTTCTTACACAGGTTTTGCTGAACTGGTCCTATTAATGGAGTGAATCAATGTCACTGCAAATAGCAATGAAAAGTGAAATTCCTTCTGGTCTACAATTTATGTTACATGAACAGCTGTCCAATGCATGAAGGAAAAAATAGATGAATGTCTCCCTAATGCTGTCTATTATGCAAACCCTACAATTTCAAATGCTCAGACAAGGGCCAAGAAATGCATTCTTGGCACAGACTAGAAGTCTATACCTTGCCCTTAACTTTAATTCACATCAATGGGAATTTCTGCACTTGAGGAAAACTGTAAACATTAATGAAGGCAATAGCTGCTCTCCTATTTATTTCTAAAGGAGTGATCTTCAGGTAAAACTGGATATAACACCCCAGCTGTCTCAGCCAACATCTTATCAATAAACTTCAGCTTTCAGACATCTGTGTGAACTATAGATCAGGTAAGCAAGCACATGATTCTATTCTGCCGTAGTCCTAGATCTTGGATTTATCCAGGAACCTCCTAGCCACACATTCACTTTGGGTATCAGTACAGCAATCAACAGGAAATTTGTATAAATCCGTCAGCAAGGTACTGTTTCACTGAATAGATATATGCTCTTCTAGGGTCAGCAGAAGTGACCATTATCAAAACTGATAATATAACAATTAAACAGCTAGTTAGCAAAATGCTTAAGATGATAGAAAATGAATACGAAACTATAGGTCAGAAATGTTACCTCCAGGAAACTAAAAGCACATTTCTTGGCAAGCAGACAAGATTATAATATTGTTCCTTTATCTCAAAGCACACGTTACCTCCTGTAGCCAACTCTGGACATAAATGAGCAACAACAAATCATTCTCACGTTCTACTTTTAACAGAACCAGCAAACTGATCTTTGCTCATTTGATTTGCTTTGTGGAATGGTGTGGAGAAGGCTTGTTTCCACCTATTGTACTTCTGCCTCAAGCCAGTACTTCTACTAGTCCCTTTTTCCGTAAGTTGCATGGGCTGCAACTGATTTGGCAAAGGAACCAAATGGGTGAAAGCCAACTCAACACACCCATGCAGCTTCTACACAGCTGGAAAACAAGCACACTGGTGAAGGACCACTTCATAGTTACCCCAGCACATGTCAGAAAGAACCAACCTGCTCCTCCAAGGTGTCCACTCAGAGCTAAACCAGAGGTGTATCTCATTTTATTGCTACAGGACATGTCAAGGTC